GCTCAGTGTACCCACTGCCACTAACGCCCAGGCCCCGCGGTCAACTGGTCCCACACGTCAGCCGCGCAGCGTAGGGGCGCGATTTGATCGGTGGCGAACTCATTGTCGATGAGGTCTCCAGCGGCGCGGTCGGCACCAACGTGCTCCCCTTGACATTGCGCATCGGATAGGCTAGATGGTTGAGTCGATTATGGTCTCAAGCTAGGGCGGTGGCAGTAATGGTAGATGGTGGCATGGTGCGATGGTGCTCCGGCCATCTCTGGCCATGGCATTGGCAGCTACGGCCTCGTGGTGACCAAGCGGAGATCTAGGGTTAGGGTTATGGCTCTAGGATGCGCTGGTGAGGCACGGCGGCGCGAGCGTGACGGTAGCACTGTAGTGTTCCAGCAAGCCGGGTGATGGCATTGAGCATCCGTCCTCCCATTGATCTTCGACATCACATGGCTAAGACCTAACACCTAGAAGTGAGCGAGGAAGAAAACTGGGCATGCATGGCCACGGTGGCGCGCATGGCGATGATGCTCTCAGCTCACGGTGGTGGACGCACGTTCTTCCCCTGCCGAGGCTGGTATTGGCTAAAGGCCAGTGGCTACAACATCCACAAGATCAAGTGACTACAGAACGATAGCTAGAGGGCGCATTGTAGGCGCGAGGTGGCCTGGCCATGGTGAGCTCGAGCTTGGTGGGGCACTACAGCCATGGAGACCATGATGATGGTGCAATGTAGCCTCACCTGTGCTAGGATGGTGGTGCTAGCTGCTCGGGGAGGTGGAGTGAGTCATAGCGGAGCTACTTGCAAGACAAATTGAACGGCGGTGCTGTGGTGGTGGCTAGCGAGGCCGATGATGATGCGATGGCGGTGGCGCTGCGCTTTCTCCGCTCGGTGGGCGCACGTGAGAGGAAGAGAGAGCGAGTGAGGGTGAGGGTGGTCGAGCTGTGGTGACGTGATGTCTTTCTTCCCTCCCTAGCCTGATGAACAGGGCTAGTGCCGACGTATGGCCGCCACACGGCGTGCGTGGCCTGCGCCGGTTGGCCACGATGCATAGCCGTTTTGAATCGGCAAAGGCCGATTCAGGCTCGACGCCACCGACTGAAACCCATTTTTCTCCCCTCCGGATCTCCCAATCTAGGCAGTGTTTTGGTAAACCAATTTCACCATTGTGTAGAGCTACATGAGTACTCCAAAAGTAGGTACATGAAAACTGTAAACAGTCTTAGAAATTTTTTCAAGTATCAAAACAGCCTCAAGTTGATTTTTCGAAGCCCTATTTGACCAACTTAGGCGCAGATTCAGCTTTTGACCCTTAAACAAAGTTTGTTCTACATGACCTAAACTACAACTTTTATTTAGGGCCCACTGCCATGCAAGCTCTCTAATTCATTAGTCAAGTTAGGTCAAACAATCAACTTAATAAAGACATTTCTAGTGGTACCTACACTTAGAAGCATTTGTGGACCAACTCATGAATATAAACTTGGTTTCATTTTTCATCCTAAGTGTGTCTAAGATGTTTTACTGACCAAACAACAATAACTTGCATTAGCCAAGCATGATCACAAGCATATACATGTATAATTAAGCACCACATGTGATAACATAGAGTGTATGAAATGAAATTTCATATGCTAATGCTCTTGAATGAATGGGTGATGCTTATGCTCATGCCAATGCAAGTGCAAAGTGCAATCTTAACACTAGGGTGTTAAAATACCTATGTTTGGTGATGGAATTAAGTATAAATACAGGTTATGTTGTTGTTTTATAATTGATGTTAGTGACCGTCAACAATTTTCCCCAAGCGTAACCTTTGCTAGTCCCTGAGCAAAGCTAAACTCAACAATGAATTAGGAGTTGCTGCAATGTTTTCACGCCTCAAAAGTACACATGTGTTCAATCAAAAATTCTCCTACGGATTAGCATAAACTAATCTGACTTTCAAACTTATCTATATTACCTTCAACCATGGGGCTTCTTAACCTTCACTTGGGTCTTGAGCAATTAAAAGGCAGAATGATCAAGTCAAGCACTATGTCCCAAGTTCTTTGTTCCACCATTTTTCTGGAGTTTTTATAAGTTTTCAAAATAAAACTCAGAGATTCCATTGTATGATACTCTCAAGTCTCTCAATATATGTGGTATTTGTGGATCCTCATCAAAGGCAGTAAAGATGTTATGCCCCTTTTCTCTTCCTATTACTAGGTCTTATATGGAGTTCATAGGTAGAGACAAAGCTAGAGCATACTTGCAATGCATATATTATAAAGTCAATCAACAGATCCAAAGAGAGTTGAGTCATACAATCAAATCAAGATGTGCATGTGTGTGGATGTATGGTAGATATATATGGTGGCTAACCTAATTCTACTATGCTCCTTAAAAACATATCTCTCCTTTGAAACTTGGAAACATTTGCTAGAGAGCAGGGGCTATCTTATTCATCTCTCTTTATCTTCTCTTTTTTTAGGCGGGCATCTAAGTACCCATTGTTTTAAATATCTCGGACACTTGTCCATTTTTTTCTCATCTCTTTTTTCCTTTTTTTCTTCTTTTTTTTATGAATAACTTTTGCATAGCCCCATGTCTCTTTTTTGCAACAAAACTTTGAGAGATAGCAACAAGAACTTAGAGCATTTATTTGGTGGATGAAAAACCTATCAAGCATGTTTTTGTTGTTCATTCCTAGTGTAGGAATAGAACATTTTTGGGTACATCTAGATGGAAAGCATGTTTTTGTGCCTACCCCTAGTGTAGGAGTAGTGCATATTTGGGTGGTGTGTATGTGATATTGATTTTAAGAGCATGACAAACCTCTCATAAGGGTCAACAAAGCTTGACAAAACTCAATGCAAAAGCAAGCAGCATATATGTGGAAGTTTTCCTAGCCTAAATAACATGTATGGCTCTGGTAGGGATTCAAGCTTTGTCATACAAGAACTCATCATGTAGCATTTTTTGTGTTTTTTCAAAAGATAAATCTCCATAACTTAGTGTCACTTGGAATAAGATAAATAGCAGCTCAGGCCTTCTCATATCATATCCGTCAATCTCCTAGACTTAGATCAAGCATTCGCTATCCACAAGTTTCAAGTTTAGAGTAAATCCTTACATCAAAATAGTCGTATCCAAAACTCGGGAGAATTCAAGGCTGAAAACTAGGTACTTGAAAGGAATTATAATAGAGCAACTATTTATCATTTTCCATTTAAGAGATTATTCTAAGTCCTCATTATTTTATTCAGCTCTTAAAAACAAACTAAAGGAAACTAGACACACCTTTTATTTTGTTTTCAATTTTAATAGATCACACATTATTACTATAAATGACTAATGCAAAGATAAATTTTTATTTTGTTTTCCATTCATCATTTTTAACTAATAAAAAGAAACTAAAACTAAAACAAAAGGAAAGAATACTTACCTGGATACACAGGAGGGCTTCTCCCCCAAGCTAGCTCTTTCGGTGAGGTTTTGGTGTTTTAAGTCCTTCGAATTGGACTTCTCCTTGTGAAGTTCATTGATCAAATACCTCAGTTCGCTCTGAAAATGAGGATTCTTATAGTGGTGCCTCTAATGGTGATGTCACCTTCTTTTGCCAAACTCGCCTTGGTTTTTAGTTTGATTTTTGGTTGACAGGTTCAGCGCTTCCACTTGTAGAAATTGAGGAATCAATGATCTCCCACACTTTGCTTGAAGTGTGTCATGCTTATAAAACAAGGTAGAGATCAAGTTCATGGGCCCTATTTGTGGGAAAACACCAACAGAACCAAAACTTTACTTATTCTTCTCTAACCTTTGGCACATTGAACAAGATGAAGTTGATGTTGTGTGTTTTGTTCACTTATGTCATGGGTGATAAGATCAAAAGATTCAACTGCTTAACCTATGGAAGGATTGTCCATAAGGTATTAATCTTTACATGATTATGACTATCATCTTCCAGAATTAGGATGTGCATTATTTAGCTTATTTGGTTAAGACTATGGGATCAATAAAGTGGTGCTAGGAACAAGCTTAAAGAACAAGACATGTTGAGCCAATCAGGTTTGATAGGTAAATTATAACTCAAACATATTTTGTTTCTTATTTATGTGCCTACCAGAATCAAGGAAAAGCTTTTTAAATAATGACCATTTACTTTAGGATGTTACCTTTGTCATTGGAGCATAATGTCACCATATGATGAAGGGCAGATGACTCGTGATGATCCTTCCCTTTTGCTTGAAATTTTCCTTGTTCGGCTAGTCTCGCAGCTTGAGCTATTCATGAGCTTCTTGTTTCCTAGTTCACACCTTTTCTTTCTCATCTTTTTGTCATGCCATCTTTTGACACCTTGTTAGACCTTTTGCCTCACTCATTGTTTTATGCTTGCAAAGGATTAGTGGACAACGCATACCTGAAGGAATATACAATTTTGAAACATGGGTTGTTTGTCCAGAATTTTGTAATTTCCCTCTATGCTAATGAAAAGATGGTTTTGGGATCACTTTAGTATAGAGATCATGTTTTATACAAGCATGGCTCAAGGCAAAGGTAACTTGCAGCAAAAGACAAAGTGAATGAACTTTGGTACTTATAGTTCTTTCATCCATGTTGAATGAGGTATGTAGTTCATTTTTGGCCCTCCAACTATGGCTGCAGTTTGTTTCTAGCCCTCTAACTCAAAAACTAGACACGCGCAGTCTCTTAACTCTCAAAACCAGTTAAAATTGGCCCTCGCGCCCATTCGACTGTGGTTTCGACCCAGTCAACCCGCCACGACCATGGTTTTGGCCCAGTCTCCATGTCTAACTAGCCAAACCAGCGGGGTCCACACCATGTCCTGGTACTCCCATGCTGCCTCCTCGGCCGCCGCCTTGTACTGGCACTGCATGGTGTCCTCACCCACCAGCTTCGCTAGCTTCGAGCCCCGGGCGTGCATGTAGATGTACCAATACACGTTCATGGCCATGACGTGTGACGCCACCGTGTCTGGGCACACCCGGCGCGCCGCCTCGATGTGCTAGTGCAGCGCCTCTAGCACGCTCGCCGTCACCTTGAGCATGTCGAGCTGCTTGAATAGACTCTGTGGCTCGCGCGCCGCGATGGCCATGCCATCCACGAAGCAGAAGAACACCATGATGTTGCGGGCGGCAATCTTGGTGAAGCACTCAGGCCAGACCAGTTGTGGTAGGGGCACAAGCACGCGCGCGTAGAGCTGGCGCTCCGCGGTGAGCATGGAGGCAATAGCCCTGTGGAAATGCGGGCTCCATAGCGCCATGGCTGACTCCATCGACTCCCACTCCATGGTGTCGATCTCCTCCGGGGTGTACGACTTGAGGTACGCCTGGTTGAGCCACATCATCACCTTGGTCGCTCTCCTATACCTTGTCTAAGTGACATCACCCACCATTATTTCAGTTACTCGCATCGCAACTGTCACTGCAAGGCTGTAGTGGTTATAGAAAATGATTCACCGTGACATAGATGTCAAGGCAAATGTCCAAGCAATCATTGCCGGTGAGCGTCTTAGCCATCCTTGCGGTGGTGTCCACCTCGTCGTCAGTGCCCAGCTCATACCCGGCCATGCCTCCCTAGGCGCCAATGACATCATTGTCCATGGGCGCTGGGTGTTTCAGCCTGAGGAGCAACGCCTTGAAGAGCTCCTAGAGGGCGAGGAGAGCATCGTCGAGGGGCCCCTCGAAGCGCACCTCCTAGGTTTCTATCTCATACACCGCACGCAGTACCATGGTGCCTAGGAAATTGACCGCCTCCTCCAACCTCCGGAAGGCCTCTTCGTCGTGCGCCACCACTTCCTCGATAGCGTCCTGCAGCTGGTCCACATAGTCAACGAACACGACCGCACTCTCGGCGTCGCCCGGGTTTGCGGGTGGCGCGGCCTCCTCGCTGAGCGCGGACACGTGGTGGAATGCCACGAGGAGGGGCTCGGCCGACGTGATGGCACGGTCGATGCACGCGCTCAGCACGCGTGTCACCATGGCTTGGGACTAGGGGTGGTGGGAGGACAACGGTGAGGTGGTAGACAGGAGCTCGTCGAGGCAGTCACCGATGGCGTCGATTTCGACCTCAGCCTCGGCTGTGGTTGAAATCATTGAGACGATGGAAGCTCATGATGTGGACCTGGCTTGTTAAACATGGAGACTAGGCAAAAACCGTGATCGTGTCAGGTTGACTAGGCCAAAACCAGGGTCGAATGGGCACGAGGGCCAATTTTAACTGGTTTTGAGAGTTAAGAGACTGCGCATGTCTGGTTTTTTAGTTAGAGGGCTAGAAACCAACTGTAGCCACAGTTAGATGGCCAAAAATGGACTTTTTCCTTACATCTATAATGAATGAGTTGTGTCTTGCTTCATCTCAGATTTGAATTCATCTTGTGACTTACCAATATTGAATTAAAAGTTTCCAGCATAGGGTTAGTCCAACAAAATGACCAGTATATACTATAGCATATTCTTGGTTCAAAAATCAACCTAGACACCATGTCTAATTTGATTTAGGAAGGCATTTTAACCTAAGCACCATTCTTAATTTAAAAGCCTTTGGAAGTATGATTAGCACCCCTAAACTAAGCTCCACGCTTAATTTAAAATATGTATGAACATACTCCAAACTTTAAGTATACTATAGCAAACAAAAGTAGCATGAAAGCATTATAGAGATTTATTCAAATAGAGATGAAAGAGCATGATTGTTATTTAGCAAATTGAGCATGGCTTAAAGGTAGAGACAACCAAGATGAATTAGCAAGATAGCATAAGATTTTTCAGAGAAATTCATCCCCCACACTTGAATTTTGCAAGGCAAAATCAAGTTTGGATAGATGTGATTCAATGTTGCATGATGGTTGGTTGGACATACCTGGCATTGTCATCCTTCATTCTTTTTGCTTCAAACCTAGAATGGTTAGTGACAAAAATATCCAAAGAAATATTTTCACAATTATATTTCTAGGCTTATTTTACAAGGGTATCACAGCAGAAGGTGAAAACTCATATTATCTCCTGAAAGTGCTTGTTTTAGGATAGGAGCTCGTCCTTGGGAAACCTTCGAATTGCACTCAAGTTGGTGAAGTGGTTTCCCCTCCAACATCAACCTTTGTGTACCTATCTTCAAGATTCATGCCAACAAGATTTGGAATATTTATGATAAACATATGCGTCTACAACCACCTTTTCAAAATTTTTGGGAATAGAAAGTATAAGGGGTTCAAGACCTCGTGTGCGGCAATGTTAGAGAGACCAATTGATTCAGGAGATTTCTCATGCGAGCATGGATTCGATGAGGTGTTCATAAAATAACTTCCATGCTCATTGATGTTATCTTTCTTTTCAAGCTCTAAGGGTGTTTCTTCATGAATGTCTATAGGCAGAAACATTGTCTCCATCATTCCATGCCTATGACATTCATTAGACATTTTATTGTCCAAGATTTCCTATGGATTGTTGGCTCTCGGGTTGATCTTGTCTAAGGCATCCTCCAAACTTGGATGAGTCATGTTTATTAAAGAGATTGATTTAAGCTCACTGTTTGGATCTAAGCCAAGTTTGGATTCTACCCATAAGGCTTCGTCCTTATCCATCCATTCTTTAGCAACAACATACAAGTTCTTAATACATTCCAGCCATTGTCGCTGCTCTTTTTGGTCATCTTTGTGGCCATCATGACTCCTATGCTTTGGTTGTCTTAGCGGATTTATAGGGTCATCATGAGACTTAGGAGAGAGGGCACAAGAGGAATCATCGGGGTCAAGGATGGGGTTGAATGAGACATCTAATGTGGGCATATAAGGGGAGAAGATAGGAATTGCTTCTAGATAGCTTGGCTCTCCAATAGTTTCACTAGACATGCCACCCCTATGATTTTCCCAATGTCCTATATGGGAATAAGGACGCTTTCTAAGAAATCCCTTCTTGAGAGGATTTGAATTATATTCGCTCAAAGGTCTCTTATGGAACTAGAAGTATAAGGTTTTCCCAAAATCAGCATAAAAAAGATCATCCTCACGAGAAATTTCAAAAGGTTGAATTTCTTCTTTCCTTGAAGGATTTTTGGGTATTGATGGTTCGAGATTGACAACTAAATCTTGGGATTGGAGTGGTTGTGATTTGGCTATCAAAACTTCCTCTTCTTGTTCGGGAGATGATTCCTTCTGTTCCTTGTGGAGGTCATTATGAATGCTAGTGCAGGGAGTCTTTCCACTAATTCTATCAAGCATAGATCTTGCTTCACTAGTAGGCAAATGAAGGAAAGCTCATCTAGAGGCTGCATCAAGGGATTCCCCGGAATCCTTGCTAAGACCCATGTAAAAATGTTGAAGTATAGGGTCTTGAATGGCAAGGTCTGGGCCAGTGATGATGAGTTCATTAAAATGATCCCACGATGTACCAAGAGATTCTTCTTCTAGTTGTCTAAAATTTAGAACCTCTTTCCAAAGGCTAACCACTTTAGAGATGGGAAAGAAACATAAACAAAATTTAGAGCATAGCGTTTCCCAATCTCCGTGCATACTTCCTATGGTTTGGCTGTACCAATGTTTAGCTCTTCTCGTCGAAGAACGGAAACACCTTCCATCTTATAATTTTGTCAGACATGCCAGCGATACGCAGGCATGCATAGGTGTGTTCAAACTCTTGTAGGTGTGAGTATGGTTTTTACTCGCCTCCTGCCGAGAAGGATTTATCCTGAATTAATTTCATAAAACATAGGCACAGCTCATAGCCAGGTTTTAGGATAGGCTCTAAAGATTTTGGTGGTTGTAGACTTGCGCTCGTGGGTTTAGCATATTGATAGATAGGAGTGGAATCCATGCTAAACAAAAAAGTAAAATAAAAGAAAGAATAAAAGATAAAATGTTAAGCTAGGTTCGTAGTTAATTCAACAGTCGTTTCCCCGGCAACGGCACTAGAAAGCTTGTTGGTAAATTTAATGCACATAGATAAATCCGCAAGCGCATGGATACCACTGTAGCTTTCACTCGGAGGTATTCCAAGTATCGTATCCATAGGGAAACGTGTGAGACTAACTACGGTCTAACTTAACTAAGGGTAGCAACAAGGTTAAGATAAATAGGAGCGTAGAGAGGATAACTAAAGTTCTCTAGTTCTGACTTGGGTAAGCTTATGTCTTCTTCTATTCAACTGGGGACATTACTAGGGAAAGACACCAGCAGAGGATGCTTTCCTTCACAACCGTGTCCTACGTGCGCCTATAGACGGGAGGTGGACTACAAAGGATCAATGAAGCTATGTAGTACAGGCTATATAGAACTTATGTCACTCATGTGATCTACCACCTTTTGGAATGCAGGGTGCATCCATGATTAACCTAAGTCTAAGCACCAAGCTTACACTTACAATTAATACTCTACTCCCCTAGGAAGAGAATAAAGCACTCAAAAGAGAGTCGTGAACCTAAAGAACAATATCAACAAGACACTTACTCGAATTAGAAGTTGATTACCAGAGATATCTCGAAGGCAAGCTCAAGTAGAACTTGGATCCACCAAGGTACAAGCCATAGAGAGAGCACCGACAGGCCATCACCTCCTCCAAACTTTTCCCTCACTCTCTATCTCACTATTATTTATAAGATTAGATCCTATGGAGGACTAATCTTCTATTGATAGCTGGCTCTGATCCTCATGATATGAATTAGGGTTTCATGATGGCTCTAGGGAGGGTGGTAGGGGCTGGTATATATAGGCCAGAGCATCCAACATAAGCCCTTGGATGAATCCGACTTAAAGGACGGCGTAGATGCAACCTAGGAGGTGGTGGAGAACCAACATTGCAACGGGAGGCTAACATGGGGGGCCCACAGGTCGGGCAACCTCTAGGTGGGGTCGGCCAGCCCCACATATTACAGACACGAGCTCTGCTTTGGTGATTCACCTTATGGAGTCTTCTAGAGTCTTTCCACGATGATTACACAGCGGAATTCTATAATTTCCTTTGACGAATAGGTCCCCCTTGACGGTTTTCTGCATAAACCCTATTGAGAACACAAATTCACCAAAACTCATGGAACTTATTAGTTTAAACCCCTATACCTATGTTTGGTGATGGAATTAAGTATAAATACATGTTATGTTGATGTTTTATAATTGATGTTAGTGGCCGTCAGCATACGCCATTCTGAAGTTAGGCAGCAGCCAGTGTAGTGGCAGCCCCCTAAAAAATGGCTTCGGTCACCACGGCTTGAAGGTAGATTGGCAGAGCTTGGAGGTGCTCCTCTATAGCAACTGGATTGTCCACTGTTTCCATGGGGAAGGCCGCATCACAGGTGGCTTGTGTGCATAGCTGCAAGTTTAGGACCCGCGTCCTCAGTTCCATAAGAAGGTTCATGATGTTATGGGACTGCTCCTTGATGATCGCCTAGTTAGTTCATGCTTGGGAGGCCTCATTCTCGAAAACTTGAAGTGCATCGCGAGCGGCGTCCAGCTCACCGCGTAGCATCTCGGTGTTTAGCCTAGAGGATGACAACAATGCTTAGACCTTGCGGTAATCCTTCAATAATTGATGGTAGTCTGTGTCGTCTGAGTATGCGTGCTCTTCTGACAATTTGCCCACTTTAGAACTAGAGGGTTGTGTGGGGTCACACAGGCTCGACGACGGTGAGTAGTGATGGGATGACTATCTAGCAACACTATGGGGAAGCCCCATGACCAAGGATGGCACCATCATGGAGAAAGCACTGCACAATGCAAGCCAAGTTCAAGCCCATATAGGATAAGGGGGAGAGCAATCATATTGAGAATGCAAACAACTTATATCAAACTGATCGGTGTAGCATGGCACGAAATCGTGGGTGGCTGCCCGCATTGGTGGATGCCTCGTGAGGATACTTTCTGAGCACGACCATGGACAAAGAACCATGCTCCAGGGCCAACGAGGCTCGGGACGCCATCACGCCCACATTCACCTATTGAGAAAGTAGGCACATTCCAAATACTAGTTAAATTAAACAACATGAACACATA